TAAAGTTCATACAAACAACACGCCGTTACGGTATTGTTTATGAAATGYAATATTTTGGAACATAATATTGATTTTACAATAGTATTTTACCGGGTTTAACGTAAAATGTCGATCATTATACGATACTATTGTAAAAATAAATGCAACATATGAGATTTGTTTTTTTAGTTTCAAAATACTTTTTAGGCATGATTTTGTAATTTTATATGTATATAATATATATATTGTATATATTATATATTATAGATACCTATATAATATTACTACATTATACATTATACATTTATACCTATATCTATTAAATATCTTGATTTGGGACTTCAAGGTGGCGATGGCGATTGTCTATCCGGCTTCCGCATACTATAATTTAATATAACCATGTCTTAATGCTATGGTTAGAATAATCAAAATTATTTATTGTTTATAGAGGAATCTTAACGGTGTTATTAGAACTGGTTATAGCAATAAATATATAATATATGCATAAGCATACTTTTTTAAATARTATTTTTATGTCATATGAACTTTAACAGGGTGAACAAAGAACAAATATAATATTTATTCTCAGAGTTTATAAACGACTCATTGAGATTTTACACTTGACATTAATATACTCGAAAACTAGGTATCATCATCTGTATATTTAAATTCTAATAATATGTCATATTAAAGATTTGGTTTTTACGTATTGTTTTAGTGAATTTATAAGGGCGAAGTGGGCAGAAGTAATTTTTATTTGAATTTCTACTCGAAGTTATAATTCAATTGTTATTCATCATCTGTTAGATTTGTATAAACTATAAAACATGATTATCGAACGAATTGTCCGATCAAAAACATTCTTGTCACGTTTCCTTTTGTCTTACACAATAAATAATATTTGTTCAAACTATTGAATATAAATTTCAGTTATATAATATACGCAGTAAAATAGCAACAAAGGTATATCATTGCAAAACTATAAAAATATAATATAAATAATATACTCATGAGAGTATAAAAAGCAAAAAGTACAAACTAACGATTTCTTTAGTAATTCTATTATTATGTAGATATCATAGATTTTTTTATAATTTTTCATTTCAATATTTGGAAGGTTGATTATTCAATAGTAAAAAATACTTTATAAACAAATATAAATATATAAAAAAATTGAAAACTGTTTGTATGATATAAAATATTATTAATGTGGTGATAGCTTGGAAAAAGATAATTCAAATCAGTCAACGACTTTAACGAAATATTTATTATTTAAACTATAGATATTCTGAGTATGGCTATTTTATTGATTGTATTTCATGTTATATTAAGTATAGGTAAAAAAAAAATTATTGAAATAATGTTTGAAACTATACACGTAAGACTATCGTAACGTAAGCGTAACTGCGTAAAAGATACAAATTATAAAATAACTGTAATTGCTTATATTATAGATGTATAGTAACCAAATTATACCTAATGTATTTCTTGAAATTATAGTTAAATTCTATTAGGTAATGTATTTGTTTTAAATGGATTAAAATGTTCTAACGAAAATAGGTGCATATTTGTATTTTTCAAACTACAATTGATAACGTATGTCTTGAGATCAAGACATTTTTACACGGGTTTTCATTCTCTAATAAATAGTTTTTTGAGTTATTTAGTTATTTTTAAAAATATTAAAACATCAATGTTGCATGTTGAATAAAATTTTTCTACAATATTATTCTTAAAATATAATAATTTATTTTTTTACCATTAATGTTTTACATACAAATATAACTCAATTTGTTGTTGTAATTATATGATATTAAAATGTCTTTTATCGAATAACTACAAATTTTACATAAAATATGGTATGGTAATTTTTGTTCAAAAACATTTAAAATATTTATAACATTTTGAAATACATGAATAAACAGAATAACATAAGTCAGCTGAAATACCTAATTAAAAAGGTTTCTAATACTACCTATATTTTATAACTATATAGAAATACCAATTTGTTCCGAAATTAACATTTTAAAAATTAAAATTAAAAACTAAATACAATGTAAATAATATTCAAATAGTTACTCACTAGTCACTTATAGCCATCCACCTCTATCAACTTTTATAATAACAATAAGTTTATATATATAATTTAAAATACGTGCATAATAATATATTTTATTGTCTAATTAGCAAAAATAAATAAATATATTTATAAATATTTATATCAGATTAAAACACTAATTATGTACATGTTGTTTTTTATTTTTATTTTTTTTTTTTATTTTAGAACCATCAGCTTAAACTATTACAGTTCGACAATTGTACATGTTGTTATTATATTCAATTTTTAGACCATATTATTATACTAAATGCTCATTGAGTATTGTATGAATTATCTGGATTAAATCTTAGATCTTATTTTATCTTAGTTTTATACAGTTTTTTTAGTTTCACAACAATTATGGACCTTAATATAACCATAATATATCAATTAAAAACGTGTATGGAGAAAACGTTATATATATGGAATAATATAGGCACTGTTTTTTATATACTGGTCGCTGTAGAGTTCACGACAAAATGTTTTTCTGACAATTTGGCAAATCATAATTTTATTCGTTGCGATTCAATTTGCATTATTTATTTCACTGAAATCTATAGTTATGTCAAGTTTTTTTCAGTATACTTTATTGTTCGAGCATTAGCAAATGCTTATTCATTTCAGTGAATCGCAATTATTTTTACGGTATACTATAGCCACTATTTATGATTGACACAAATAAATTATTATTTAAAATATAATTTACTTTAAATTTAAATAAAACAAATATATATAGTAGTATCAGTTACATATTTAAGTATCCATTTATAATAACTAATCTTTAATGTGTTCTAATAGTTTTTTTTTTTTTTAATATCATTCACGTTTTATAAAGAAATAAATGTAATTATTCTAGCTATACAAGCTACGTATATAACTAGTTTATAACTAATCATTTTGTCCAACAATATACATTTTTAATATTAATTATATTTTTAGATTTATAATTTATAATTTGTTCGAATTTTTATCAAATCAAATCTGTTCTGGTAATGGCCAGCGATATGTTTATTATTCTTGTTATAAATATTTCTATTGTTGCGTGAACAACGATACCGAATTCTCAAGTGAGTCTACTAACTGATGTCAACATATTGATGTGATTAACGGACATGGTTACAATATAACTTGTAAAAATTATATACGCGGTCAGTAAACTCTTATTGGGTTCATGTGGTTCAAGCGTGAAAAAAAATACATTTCAGTTTTTGATGTTATATATTATTATATTATTATGCTTAGCATTAGTTACTTATTACATTTTTTCGTAATAGATAAAAATAAAATGTTTGAAGTTTTAAAAAGATATGCCAAATGTGTTAAAAATTCAATGCATCTATGTTATCACTTATAATTAGTTGTAAAATAGAGTTAAAAAATTTTATGCAATTACCCTATTAATTATTGATAAAAAATATTATCTTCTTATGGTATCATGTATATGGTAGAGTCCAAAACCTAACCTTAAGGAAATCTGCCAAAAATTGTGAACAAAAAATTATGATATAGCATTTTGATTACAGCATATTGTACCTACACGTTATTAATAAAAATTGCTAGGTATTGTTTGTTTTGTTACGAATTTACGATTCTAAAAAATAGTTATAATACTCTATTGACTTGTAAAAATTAAATAAAAATTACCTTTTGAATATTTAATTTAGACTTGTCGTGAAATTAATATTAATATTTATTTATTTAATACATTTAATCATATATACTGATAACTTAAGAGTTATGGTTATAGATTACTCAAATGTTAGATATGTAATACATTTTAGCAGTTTAATTTAAAATTCATGCTTGAATGAATAGATAAATTTGAAACAAACCACTGAACATTAGTACCTATAGTTATTCGGATACATATTATATTGACTGGCAAAGTTGTTACTTTTTTATTGCAAGGTTTATGACCCTATATAAATATTAGTTTATAAAAAAACTTTTTTGATTAATTTTATGTATAAAATTAAATGTATGTCATATTTTTTATCAATATTCCATACATTCAGTTTTTTTGTTTTTGTTTGATAATTTATTGAAATTTAAAACAATATGAAACCTTATTATATAAAAAAATAAGATTTAAGATTTAAATTATAGCGAGAAAATAGTGTCTGTGAATGTAAAAGATATCCAAGATTTTTTATACTTATTCGTGGGATGTGCTTACACATATATTTGACTAATTCTAATTTTAAAAATAACAGAAACACACTTTTTAGATTATATAAAACAAAAAATGTTCATGTTATATTTTGAAATGGATTTTCTTTAAAAAACAAATAAGAAATATATATCTTGCATTATTTAGCACGTTAATTTTCCATTTCAAATGTTTAGCTGTAAACGGTTATCGACGTGCATGAAATATCATTATTCATTTCTTAACCATGCACATGATAAATCCCAATCCTAATCGAACTTGCAGCTCTTTACAAAATTGGTAACAAGTTATTTTAAAAATAAATATGAGTTTGACGTGGTCCAGAAAAATATACACTTGTGATTATTATGTGTTTACTACATGAGTATTATAGCCATGACCTACATCCAAAATACTATTTCGTTTTGGTTAGTTTGTTGTATTATCGTTAGACCTTTTGTTATCTAAAAAATAAAAAGGTAAATGACAATAATAATAATATAAACAGTAAAACTCGGTGTTGACTTGCGTTAGGTGTATGAAAAAACGATTAAATACGATGGCACACCTGGACATTCTATATTTATAAAAACGATGAAAATCATACGAATCCATTAGACGATGTCGCCACAAAGTTCTTTCTATGACCTCTTACCAATCAGTAACCACCATACTTATTCAATTAAAACCTACAAACACCCCCGGAACACTATATCTGCATTGAGTGTATTACACTTATATATGTTTGATAATTTTGACTTTACTTTATTGCAGGAAATGTCAGTGCAATTTTCACGTATAAATGGAAAGGCGAGGACATGGCTCGAATGCTAGACGACATGACCAGAAGGGTGATGGTGAAAATCACAATTGCCAGTCATTGCACCAGACCATACGGTAACATTAACAGGTAAATTACTGCAATATAATGTAATTGCACGTAAAATAAGATACCTACATATAAAATATAACATTTATATATTAAATTGGTTGAGCCATAGTGTTTTTCTATTTTACCACAAAGCTATGTTATAAGAAAACTGAAAAATGCCGTTGCTTATACAATACGTGTGTATAAAATGTATTGATAAGGAAATTAGAGATGAAAACCAATAACAGCTAAAAAGGCACGTGTAAATTTAATTTCAAATACGGATAAATAGACAAAAAAATTAAACTTATGCGTGTTCWWGAACACGCATATGACCATATCAATTCACACATCCAATTGTATTATAGTATTATTTTGTCAACTACATTTTTCACTAAAATGTTTCTTTATTAACCTAACCTTATGTAACCAAATTGTCTATGTATAAAAAGTCGATGTTATAATTTTAAATTATTATTATTTTACTATATTATTTTGTATTTTAATATTTTCAGATGAACTCTACTTTTTTGATACAAAATATTGATTAAAAATATTAACATTAATTAACACACTCACCTATAATAATATGTTAATGAGTAGACACTAAATATTATTCATTTTTTGCACTTTAATTATAATTCAGAAATCATACAAAAACAAATGGGTACTTTACTTTTTTTAATTGCTTATATTGCATTTTATTCAAATTTTGGGCCAAAGTGGTTGTTAAATATGTGATAATATTAAACTTAATAATAGCCACATATTTCCTGATCAAGTAATATCAAATTCGTCATTTGAATGTATCTATTACAGAATATTATATTTAATCTTAGCTTTCTACTGCCTATTTTAAGCTTAAAAGTTTTAAACCTTTATTATTTCGGTAATATTTTAGAACTATTATAATATGTGTATAACATTTTTAGTTATTTAATAGAATCTGTTCAAATATGTGACTCGTTAAAATCTTAAATCATAATCTTGCTATGTAAAGGTAGTATGTATAATATGTACATTATTATGCCATCAAATATTTATTGTATAGTATACCGAATAATGATGATAACCAAGGTAAATTATTGATATACATGCATAGTTAAATAATAAAATGTTAAAAAWATCRTTCACCCCAATATTAACGATAAAAAATTATTTATTTTAGATACATAATGAACTATTTCAGGTTATTTTTGCTAAGTAAACATTTATATACATAAATTTGTACATTTATCACTGTGGGTCTTTACTCTTTACTCTTTAGCACTGTGTTCCATATGTTTTAAAAAAATAATGTAGCTCCAATCTTCCACGGTAAACAGGGGAAGTCTTGGAATATTTATTTTATTATATTATTTTATTAATTATTGTGTTCAAAATATACAACTAGTTAGCAAGTGTTATAAAAAATAAACAAAATATGACATAAAACATAATAATGATATGCAAGTCGTTATCATTGGTTATAACTACTATTATAGTATAACAAATGATATAACGGACTAGCTATTATAAACAATTAAAAAAGTGTAATTTATATTGCATGTTTTGCTATTATCTTAAATTGTTCAGGAAAAATTTAATTTATAAATAACTAGCATGAGTGGAGAAGATGTAAAGAGGTAGATGGTGGTGTTGAGCTCAATATAGTTGGAAGAGAAGAGTGAAGAAGAACAAAAATAAKAAATAAATAATTCTATAATTGTAATGAGGATAATAATATTACATTATGATAAGATGAAAAAATTATTAAATAATTAAAAGTAGGGATTCTGTGAAGTTCTATTTATTGTATCGTTTCTAAACTGTATTAACTCACTGCATCATCGCATGAAATATATTATCATTTATTATTCAGATAATAAATTGTAAGTACGTTATGTATTATCATATAAATCCTAATTTATCTTCATTCAATAATAATTTTTTAATATAATATTATCATTTGGATGGCATTTCTAATTATATTATCCGTAGAAAGTCTATTTTTATCATTATACATTTTTTAAATTTGTATTTGCACAGTGTCAATTTCAATCAGCTAGTTTACCGTATAGTCTATACATAACACTATAAAATATAAAATATTTGTATCAAGTATATCATTATGATTATTATTTATTATTAACACTATATTGAGCATTTTATATTAATAACAAATAATTCATAAGTCCAGAATGTTATTTTATGCTATGGTGTTTATTTGTTAACTGTAGGTATATATCCATTTTTTAATAACTAATTACTTTTATAAATCTTGAATCTTAAATCGTACGTAAGTTGATTGTGTTATGTGTAGGGGGAAGGGAAGTTGGGGTTGAATTGAAAAGTTCAAAAAGCTAGAAATAATAACTTGAAATAATAAATATAACAAAATATTATAATAGATAAAATACAAATACTTGAATAGAACAAGTTTATGTGCTATATATTATTACTGAGCTGTGATGATTCTCGAACAAAAATTTTAAAAATACATAATATACATAATTGGTTTTAAAGAATGTTAGTTAGAATTGGAACAAAATGTAATATTAAAACAATGAAAAAACGATTTTAATTATTTTCTTTGATTAAAAAATATTATTGGTAGGGATTTGAAAGTTTTTGCCATTACGTATAATTATATTATTATTTACTAAACATAATTTAAAAAGTATTTAGGTTAATTTCAAACGATTTGTATTATAAATCTTTGCTTTATTAAAATTAAAAACAGTTATAGGTATATGTTAATATAAGTAGCCTGGTGTGATGTGGTGTTTGGCCGGTGTCGGTAACGTGTTCTGTGATCTAGCATCAGCCGGTGTCACTATTACAGCCAAGATTTTTATTGACAAATTCTTAACACATAATATATACGTGTTCTAACCAACCGTTCCCTTCCCCCACGGGACCCCGTTGAAATGAATTTGAAATTTTGATAGGAATACTTATTATATTATATTTTATAATATTTTATAGAGCCCGCAAAAATATTTAGTACAGAATACCAGTTGTAGATTTTGAAAATTTTGTATAGCGTGCAAAAATATTTAGTACAGAGACCCAAAATGTTACGTGGGGGTCTGCTCTTTCCCTCAGTAATAAACTTATTTAATTACCCAGGCTAATAACATCAGGCGTGTATCCTTAGAAGAATTTTTAAAAAAAGTGCAATATATATTTTTTTTWAAATCTATTTACAGAAAAATAAATTACTATTATCAATGTGAATATTTATAAAAATCATTAGTCAGTAGAAATACGATTATATACTGACAATTTCCGCTCAGAATCGTTTTTATTATGCAATGACTGATCTGATAATTGATATCATGTATCAGTAACATGACTTCCCCAGATTTTTTCATGTTGGGATTTTTAGAAAACTTATAGTGAAAATTAAATAGCACGTTTAAAACTGTAACAAACAACAAAAAATAACAATTTATTTCGTCAATTTTGTCATTGGATACCTGTAGGTACATGTATAATATAATTAATTTATGTTTTTATAAGAATTTTTAATATATAACATGGTTTAAAATTAAGAATTTTTGAAGAAATCATTGATAAAATGTTCATTMATTTACATATATGTAAGATAGGTATCAGACAAATCCCGATTTCAGGATATATCAGATTCCACTTGTATAAGTTAGAGCTATGCTTTGATGTGGGGATTTGTATTGGGATTAAAATATTATATGGGTTTTAGCTAATTATGTGACATTTTTAATCTTATAGTCTTTATGTTAGTCCCAAACCAGTAACCACCAGTATCTAATAGTGTGAAGACGAAATTTTGGATAGACTAAATAAGTGGAATATTAATTGAATGCTTGACCGGTCCAAGCCCAAATTTGCAAACCATGTATGAACGGTCTGATTATTGAATTAAAAACTGACACGTTGGTTTTGTGTTTGGATTCTAGAGGTGGGTGGAAATAGCGGAGTCTGTTGAGTATTAATAATTGGACATTTTTGGGAGAAAGAAAGTGACTTGGGATAGTTGGTCTAACATTCTAATATATTTTATTCCTAGTTAATTGTCAATGATATGAAAAATGAAATAATATATAAAATAGAATTTTATCATAAAATTAGTAAATATTAACATTTATTAACATTTTCTTAAATAAAAAGATGATTTTTCTTTTTTGATAATGCACATATTATTTGTATAAAGTATTTTATTTTCTATTGCATAATAGATAAAAAAAAAATTGTTTGTAATGTATTATGCAATAGATGAATATTATGTTATTCGTATCATTAAGTAATTATATATAATTACATTTTAGTATTGATAATAATTATAAATGCCATTGGATATTTTATAGTAAACGATATATTCTAAAAATAATACTTAAGTCAAGTATCAAAATAATTAAAATTAAGTCCTAACTATATCAAGATATTTAATTTGAATTCAATAATTATGCTGTTCAATACATTTTATTGAGATTGTAATAGGTACCTATTCAATCATTGCTTAAACAATTAATTAACATATATATATGGTATGTATATATATATATTACATCTATGTACAAAACAGTTCATGTGACACACGTAAAATATAAATATTATAATTTCTTTTTTCATCAAGAAGCTTGCGTTTTAGATTTATTATATATTTTAGACTCAAGAGTTTGACACTATTTTAAAACTCAAAAATTTAAAAATTATAGAAATCTGTGGTGTACTGMTAATTGCTATGTGTGAATATAACTGTCGGATGTTTATTTAATGGGATATAAATATATCTCGTAATACCTGTGAAAGAAAATAAAATATTGCTAAGGAATAAGGTAAGAGAAAAGAACAGTAAATTTAAACTATAATTTAAATTTGTGTCGTATTTAAAAACCTCCCTCTCAAATAACAGATACAATGCCGATAAATTAATTTAATGCATACAAAACAATATTTGTGTTTTTTTTTTTTTATTGATCTTTATAGTTTCGGCGACATGGGCCATTAGCTTTATACATAATTTACATTATACTATTACTTAAAACTTACATGTTTTAGGTGTCAATTTAATTACA